GAAGCCAGCTTGAACGCTAATTAGACTGGTGCTTGGGATGAAAGTAGGAGTGCAGGATGAATCAAGGTAAAGGAAAAACTAAAAGGACCAACAAAGCGAAACGAGTTTCTTGTCCTTCTCGTTGATTTCGAGCGGAGAACGAGTTCACTTCCATTGTGCCTCATCAACCACGAAGGAACGTCAGCGCCGAGTCCTGCCCCTCTGTTGCAAAGCACAGAGAGAAAGGTGAATGCCGTTGATGGGTATCAGGAGGCGGAGCCAAAGATCAAAGACAAAAAGCCAAAGGTTCTGCTAAGTCGTTTTCACCGTGTCCTTCGCTGCTACACACACCGCACAACACCAGCTAAGATCATTCAGACTTCGCCATTGACGCGCGTCGACTCGCTACAGTCGCAACAGCGCTCTAAAGCTACAGACGCGAACGCGGCCGGCGCCGATCAGTTCTTGTCTGCGAGTGCTTGACCGATGGGTGTTGGCGTGTTTTGAGGGCATTTAGGGCAAAAAGATAGTAGGTGTTGCCTAGTCACAGAGACTGGTACTGGTCGTCTGCGTTCACATCCATACTTTTATAGCGCTGTTGCAATTATAGCGCATTATAGCGCGTCGACACGCGTCATCGCGAAGCCTGAACGCTGCCTAAGAGAAATGCTTCTTTTTGAACGGACATACTTGACTTATTGGCCAAGCAAAACTATTAAACCCACTGGATTTAATGCGACTTGGTCGACCGTCTTAAAGAACTTGTTCAAAAGGTAACCTACTATTATACTTATTTTACTTATTACAGAGCGCTCGAGGGAACGCAACTCAAATCGAAGAGCTCCCTGCCAATAAAGGAGCGATCATTTCAAGACCGAGACCATCTCCTTTGCTGAAACCGCGTCCGGTCATTAGATCTCAATCGGAATCCGACTTGGAAGCAGCACTTAGAAGTCGTGGTCTGCAAGAAGCAGCTCGCAACGACTCGCTTCTTCAAGTCCCCCACTCCGACCGCGCCCTTCCGTCAAAACGTCTGACGCCAGAATCTCAGGATGGAAGCGTTTCATTGGATAAGTACGGTGCAAACCAATGGTGGGCACATCCGCTGCGAGTGTAAATATTATTGACTAATAGTAAAGATGAGACGTTCATCTTGGCAGACACGTGTAAACACAATAGCAATAGTAAAGGTTCTTTGACCTTCTTGACCTATTTAAAACTACATGCAGCCACCACGTTAGCGCGAGCCCTGGTTCGTGCGGTGTTTTGTTGTTGCCATGAAGCTCAGGTCAGGGCAGATTGACCTGGCAATGTGTTCCATCGCATCTTTGAGTGAAGTTCGGTTTACTTACTATATACTTTGTAGGTGCTTGGTTGAATTTTATCGAAGGTTTGAAGAAAAAGTCTGGTTGAGAGCCGGATAGGAAGACGCGTAGCGGATTACCATATATGACTTCTTTTTTTCGCAGTCGCCTTTTGAGCGCTGGTGCGAGGCATGGCGATCGAAGGAGAGGCGTATGAAAAGTGCGGCTGCCGAGGGCTCCGGCTCCGGCGTTCTTTGGGGGAAGAAGGCCAGCCGGAGACGGTGGTGCAACGCACATGGAACGGACGTCAAAAGTTTTAGCTTCCCAGTCAGCGGCGAATGCGACGAAGTACCGTTGAAAGAAATAACAAGTGGGCGTAACGTCGAAGTACAAACCGGACGCTGTCCCAGCCAAACGTAACACTCGCGGCTTTGGCGGCGCGCCAACCCTCCTGACTTTCCGCGTCTGCGTCTCAAGTCGAATAGCTCTCACTGAGCCTGTGTACGTCTAGACGCTAGCTAGGAAATACTCTTTCGTACAGGGTTCCCATGTCAAGCTGGACATGCCCTCGCTGCGAGGTCGCAAAGGTATTCTCTTTCTGGAGTTGAATGGATTCGGGGCGCGCAACTGCGGGTGTGAGGTGCCGTGTTCCTCTTCTCGCGCGTCCACGTCATTAAGAGAGGACAAGGAAAAGGAAGAGGGAAGAGAGAATGAAGGAAAGGAAGGAAGGATGAAAAAAGGGAGAAGAGAGGACTTCGATGTTGACAAGTATCCTGAGACGACTCTGTTAGTGCGCGCGCTGCCGTGCTGGCCTTAATAGCTTACGAAGAAAGAACTACCCCTTAAGAGTTTGTGGAGTTTATCTTAAACATGACCACGTTTATGCAACGGTTCACTGTGGCAATTATACGTACCCATGGATTAAAATGAATTCAAAAGTTATAACGTCGGGTGGTGATACGGTAACGTGTGTAATAAAGATGAACTTTGCAAATTCACGAAATCGAGACATTGAGAAAGAATTTAAAAAAGAAACGTAAGACTCACCCATCCTTTCTTTTCCGTATAAAAATAAGCCCAAGTTCTCGCATGTGCATAATTAGGGTGGTCTGATCTTCTGTCCAATTACTGCTGATTTCAAAGGCAGTTTGAGAGAAGTCTCCACCTACAGATCCGAAATATCATCTCAGCAAGACAAAACATAAAATAAAAACTGACTAACCTCTGACGACACATAGAATCACTCTGATAAGCAGGTCCAAAACAGGCCTAATGTCTCGCCCCTTGGAGGACTCCAATTTGAAATACTCTGAAACGAACCAAGCCAATTAAAAATGCGAAGTAACTCCACGGAAGGTACCGATACATTTCAAAAACTCACCAATCATATATGTCCAAAGCTGGTGAACAGGACTCAGCAACAAAAACTGGAATCCAGCCGAGGTGATTTCAAGATCCGCCGAGCCATCGTTGTCGCTTGTGAAGCCCGCCGCGGAGAATAATTCACGTGTCGTAGCCGATACTGAGCTCATGTTCTTGTCTGAAGGCAGCGCCAGGTACCTGTGCAAAAGCGAAATGTGTACTTTATCTCGAGAAAGTGCAGACAATAATGAACAGCTCCACAGGGCCACTAGTAACGAAAAACCATTTCCCTGCGGCTGCTCACATCTGGACCGAATTATGGTGGATGGCTCATTGCGAGACTTCTGCTCACGATACGTCAGGTCACGGGAAAAACTCTGTATGCCCTCAATTTCTTGCTTTGCCACAGATATGGTTCTTCAAGCTGCTTCCCCTATCTCACTGTCAAACTTGACTCTTCGTTCTCCAGAAAACAGTCATGCTACAAGGTCGTT